GTGGCTCATTTAGTTAAACATTTGACCTTGATTTCTGCTCAGGTCATGATCTCCAGATTGTGAGATTGACCCCAGCACTGGGCTCTGCATTGGGCGTGTTGCCTGCTTAAAATTCTTCTCTCTCCCTTTGCCCCTCTCCCACCTTCCCTCTCTAAAGAAAAAAAAAAAAAAATGTAGCAAGGTTTTCGTATTTTGTATATTTCAGTAAATATTGCTTTATATAGTGGTGAGCTGGTAAATGTTTACCAAAAGAATGTTTCTCAATAGAAACTATTTTTAGAAAAGACTGATATGTAGCATTTGCTAATTGCCATGGTATAAATCCTTCCACCACAGCTGATTTCGAGTTACCCATGTGAAGTCACTGAATGGGAATTTAGGGAAAGATGTACATGGTAAGAACTGGGAAGCGAGTGTGAGCCGGCTACAGCACCCCACTGCTTCTGGCAGAAGCTATCATTGTCTTATCCATGTTTCTTAAGACAGTACAGTTTCATTGCATCCTGCCCTAAATTCCAACTGCTAGCTTTTGCATCTCTCTGGGAGTTATCTGTATATGTGGGATCCGTTTCTACTTGAGCCAGAAGTGCCACGAAATTATTTTCCCTAGCAGCTGCGTTTGACCAACTAGTGACAGTAGTTGCTGCATAAATTCACCATCTCCCTCATCTCTCATCAGATAAGTTAGATGTCAGTGCTCTAAAATGGCTCCCATCATTCCCCAGCAGAGTTTCAGGGCAATGCATCCTATATTGATTGTTTTCCTTTCCCTTTGTTATATTCCTCCTCATTTACAGGTATTTCCTGGAATCAACCTTAATAAAACTATTTGCATTGAATCCTGTCTCAAGATCTACTTCTGTTGGAGCTCAAACCAGTTCAAACTCCTTCTGTTCACTTCAATTTCTCCTTTTTGCAGATCTCTTTGGAGTATAACTACCTATATTCCTTATTCATGTCTCTATTTGGTATTTCCCATCATTGCTTCAAGCTCAAAATGATCTCTAATTCTATCAGTTCCTTTTCTTACCATATCATTTCCATCAGAGGTAGGAGGGCTTCAGATACTTCTTGGTCTAGCTAAAGACATCAATATATCACAGCATTAAGCCTCCATTAAAGGCTTTGTAATGGAGAGCATTTGCTACCAAATGTGACCTACTCTCAAACCTGGACAAGATAGACTCTGATTCTTTTGTTGTGATTCCAGAGTGTATTTTAAGAAATGTGGAGATCCAAGTCTAAGCAAAGGACTGTATGTGGAGGTATTTAAGTCCAAAAAACAGAGCAAGAGAGACATGGAAAATATTTTACTAATATCAACCAAACTTAAATTTTTTGAGGTGTTTTTAGATATAATCTGTGTGTTCTTATAACTGCTTTCTCTTTTTTCCTCTTCGATGCTGAAATATATTCTCTAAATTACTTATAAACATAAATTTGTTTCATTTTGTTTTGTTGGTCAAATATTTTTGTGTTATTTTTGTTTTCTTTTTTTTTCTGCACCAAAAAAATCTTGTCCAAAATACAGCAATAGTCAAAAAAAAAAGAGTAATTTTAATGTCAGTCTCCATTTTCAAACTGGGACTCAACATTTACCAGGAAAATGAAAAAAATCTGCTAGAAGGAAACTTCTGAAATGTTTGATTTGTTAAAAAAAAAAAAAAAAAAGTCTCTCCTACAACCCATAACACATGAATAACGACAGTTTCCTTCCTCCACACTGGTAATGCAAACAACATAAGAATAGGAGCAAAAACTCAAGGGAGAATATGCAAAAAAATTATACTTCCCTGTCTCATGATGTACACTTTGCCTAATTATGACGGAAAAGATGCCATCTGTGAGAGACTGTTGGCTCAGAATTGCCTTTATTCTTCTCATGTATGCCATGGGAGCCATAAATCCTGTGGTAGTAAATATAGGAAATAAAAGTATAGTCAGATTTGAAGGCTGACTTTCAGTGCTTTCCCTAGTTTATTAAGTTGTGGGAGTGATGTCATAAGAGGGTGACATGGGTTACTGACTTTATTTCCTTCATAAGAACAACTGTTCACAAGAACAACTATTCAAGAACAAGACACCACTTACCACTCGAAGAGTCCTCAAACACGGGGCTGAGGCTGAAGCACCCCCCCACCCTGCACCACAGAGACCAAGATGGACTGCATTATAGAGGTAGGAGGAGTGGCTGTGTTTTGACTGCATTGTCCCTCCCCCAGGCCAGCCCAGCCCAGCACCTTGAGAGGTTTCCCCTGAGCCCCTGGTTTCTCCAGTGGGAAAGAAAACAGGGCCCTGGACAATGAGCTTCCTCCCCCCAGCATTAGGGTGACATTGTGAGAAAATTTACATTTACTCTGATCTCACACCATGAGGATTGCAGAGAAATATCTGGGGGCTCAACCACTGGTTTTCTAGGACAGAGAAGCAGGGAGGAGCTCAGAACAACCAGCACACAGATCTCAGTAGACTGAGTTCATATCTGCAGTTCTCAGGAGTAATCCCAGCCAGTGGTTTTGTTCATCTGGAGAACAGGGATGGGATGCACTCTGAACAGGGAACTTGGTGGGGTGCAGTTGTTTCTGATTCAGATACTCAAAAGAGAAATTTTGCCTATCCTCAAGTCTGTTTTGCCCACACCTTCACAAGGAGAAGAGTCACAGTCCCCCTGCTGTGGAGAGTATCTTCTGGTGCCTTATGAGCAGAAGGGCTAGCCACAACTCCTGGAAGCTGTGTGGCTTTGGGGCACTCAGGCAAAATTAATCACCCCTCGAGCAAAGTCAGTACTGGGCATGGAGACTTGCCATGCTATCACAAGCAGTGGGTTTAATTCATAGCCAAGACCTAGGGTAGCTCTCAGCCCCTTTCAGTCACAGAGCCTGTTTGGAAAATTGAGTGTAGCTAGAGTGGCCCCTCGCCTCTTGCCTAGGCTGGAGAGCTGAAACATAGCCCTTCCTACAGTGGAGAGTATCTTCCAGTCCCAACTGACCAGAAGGGATAGTGACAACTCCTGGAAGCTGTGCAACCCATTGTATTCCAATCTAGAAAAGGACAAGCAGAGTCAGTAGTTTGCAAAATGAAGCCAGTGTCCCTGGCTCAGCCAGGGAAACTGGGGTGCAGGTTGGCTAGAGGTGGCATAACAAACAAAGAGTTTTCCCAGCTTAAAAGCTTCGTCTTCCACTGCACCTGGGCAGAAAATCTAATTTGTTGCCCTAGTCATCACTGAATACAGTCTTTAGTCTGTCAAACCAGGGAAGCTAATCAGAGCAAATGGGAAACTATAGCCCATGCAACAGCCTTATGTTTAGTGCCACTTGAACAGAGAACACAGCCTAGTCTTCCCCCGTCTGCAAATCAAAACTGGTGGTCTCACCTGACTAGGGAATTCAGTGTATACTTGGTCCTGATTTGAGCCCTTAAACCCCAAACTCTATAGACCCTTGGGCCTGGCCTGCTGCCCCATCCAGACAGGGAAACTAATTCATAGTCCATTTAGACTAAAAATATGGTAACCTGTCCTGACCATCTAGTATGCCTGACCCAAGAATCCAGTCAGCTGTGGAGCCCAACCTATAACCTCACTCAGGTAGGGAACTAAACCAGCAGTCTTATCCAGCTATTCTCAGCCAAAGGCACACTCCCCCTCTATCCCCATCCTCAGAGCTCAAACAGTTGCCTTGTCCCCAAATAAGCCATAATAGCACGTCCCACCTGTCCAAGGACATTGCCAGCAGACACACCCAAAGTGGCCTGAGTGGTAAAGAACAGTTTCTATCACAGCAAACCTGTAAAATCTGGAAGAGGAGCCCAATTACAAAAAAGCATGATTACCAATAGAAGGAATCAAGGACCATGGGAAATCAGGTATCTATGACACCACAAAGGGAAACTAATAATGCTCTAATAACTGAGCCTAAAGAAATGGAGAACTATGAACTGTCAGGCAAAGAACTCAGAAAAAAAAAATCTTCTTAAAGTCTGGTGAACTACAAGAAAACACAGACAACTAAATAAAATGAAGGAAATAATACACGAATAAAATGGGAAATTTGACAAGAAAATAGCAACCATCAAAACAAACAAATCCTACAGTTGAAAAATACAAGAACTGAAGAATTCAATAGTTTCAGAAGTAGACTTAATCATGCAGAAGAATGAGCAATTATTTTTTTCTGAAAAAGAAATTAATCAATCCCATTTACAGTGGCATCAAAACCAATAAAATACTTAGGGATAAATTTAACTAAGTAGGTGAAAGATCTCTATTCTGAAAATTACAAGATATTGATGAAAGGAATCAAAGAGTCACAAATAAATGGAAAGGTATTTTCTCTCTCTGTCAAGTAAATAAATAAAATCTTTAAAAAAATATTGTTAAAATCCCAATACTAGCAAAAAACATCTATAGATTCAATGCAATCCCTATCAAGGTTCCAATGGCATTTTTTACAGAAGCAGGAAAAACAAAAACAAAAACAAAAACCACTTTTAACATTAATATGAAACCACAGAAGACATGAAATAGTCAAAGCAATCCTGAGAAGGAAGAACAAAGCAGGAAGCATCACACTTTTTGATTTCAAGCTTTCCTGTAAAGCTGTAGTCATCAAAAAAGTATGGTACTGGCATAACAGTAGACAAAACAATAGAACAGAATCAAGAGCCCAGAAATAAACCAAGCATATATGGTTAACTAATGTTTGGGGAGCCGAGAATACTCCGTGGAGAACAGGCCATCTCTTCAATAAATGGTGGTTTGAGTTATTGAATAGACAAGTCATTCAATGACGTTTTTATTCCTTTGGCAATAATGATCCCGAACAGGGAATGGCCAGTAGTTGGTTTTATTGGCACTAGATGACATTGTTAGGCTTTATAGTAGAATGAGAGTAGTACAAATCAAATAAACTTCTTCTTAGGAAATTTTTATTGAGATTTTTCTACATGGGCAAGGATGCCACTTTTCATAATAATTTTTTTTTTTTTTGCAACTTTTTCTTTTATTCAGCTTTATTATGCAGACTTGGAAACTGCTGTGATTTTTTTATTCAATTTGGGATCCTGATTAGGATAAAAACAGTGCAAATTATGCCTTACAACCATTGCATTAGTACTACATCATTGTGATATGGCTTCAAATTGATTGTATACAGAGAAAAAAATAACATTGGAATTAAGGCAGTAACCACATGTGCAAACCAAGCACAGTACCCTGACACGGTCCTTAGTAAAAAGCTCTTTTGGTTAGGTGATGGTTGATACTGCTGCATGCAGGTCAATCACTGAAGGATATGCTTCATTTATTTAAAAAAAAAAAAAAATCCCTCCTATTGGCCCACAATGGCCAGAAGAAGCTTTCGGTAATCTCCACTTGTGTCACTCGCAATCATTGTGCCCAGGGTCTTCTGATACATCTGACTGAAGGTCTGTTTTATTTGTACAAGATCAATCTCACTTCGAGTGACCACAATCCTGACCAGGGTGGAGTCATCTGTGCCGGCACCTTTCATAGAATAGTAGAGCCTCTCAGCAAAGAAGGCAGGGCGGTTCAGGGCACACTGCAAGATGGTCTTTAAACCACTTTCAACATTTCCAGAAAATTCACGGGCAACACTACTTAGCAAATCTCGATTAGCCACCCTGGAATAAGCCTCCACAGTAGCTTTCAGTTGAGGAAAGCTTCTTGTGGCGAGAATCATGTTAAAGCAGGATTCATCTGTTCCTAGTCTTCCCTCACCAGCTTGATAGAGACGCTGAGCATCTTCCTGAGCCAACTGGTGGTTAACATTCTGGTTCTCATCACGATTTCCCTGGCACATGGATACCAGTAAACGTTCAAAATGCCCAGATGTATCTGACCTAATATCCTTTTCAAGGTCTTGTCCGAATTCTGACTGATAACATCTGACAATTTCTCAGATTTCCTGATTTGTTCTCGTGCACGAAATTTCAATCAATACACGTTCCTGAGTTCCTGCTCCCTTCATTGCATTCCGTAAACTCCAGGCATCGTAATATGTAGGTGGCATGAATAGGGCAAGGATCAGTTCTTCCATATTTCCACTTAACTCTGATTTAAGGTCTTTGATTAAATCCTTGCCATACATGGTCTTAAAAGCTGCTTTAATTTTTTGCCTCTGATCATTGGAACGGTTGGCCACAACGTCCACAATTGCCTGCTCATCTGTCCCAAAACCTTTCATTGCTTTACGAAGAATTTCTGCATCTCTCATGGCATCAAAGTTGGCAGCTGGTCGGACTGTTCCTTGAGTTCCCTGAGTCATCGCAGCAGGCTGACTTGGGTAAGGAGCTTGTCCTCCAAGATACTGAGAAGGCATCTGTCCTCCAGGAAAGCCACCAGGTAGTGGGACCTGTGCTGGGCTGCCACCATAAGACTGTGAGGGTGGCTGTGGATAGCCAGAAAAGCCTGCTCCACCTGGTGGGGCGCCAAACCCTTGACCTGGAGGAACTCCTGGATAGGATGGAGCTCCCCCTGGTGGTGGGGCACCAGGATAACCTCCGGGGGCTGGATAACCTCCAGGGGCTGGGTAGCCTCCAGCTCCAGGGTAGCCACTACTTGGGGCTGGGGGGAAGGCACCTCCTCCCACTGGAGGAAAGCCACTAGGATAAGGATACTGACCCGGAGGGGGAAAAGATGACTCCTGACCTGCAGGCTGAGTCATACATAGGGTGTGACATTTTGGAGCCCAGTTCAGACTAGACAATGTCTGAGAGTGGCAGAGACTGTCACATATTCACCGAACTTTCTCCTCTGGCCATAAAGCTAGACTACGTTTCCCAGACTCCCAGGATATCCAGGGAAAGGTGGGTAGCCTGTTGGAGGATAGCCTGGGTATGACATTTGGGCGGGAAGGTGGGGTGTTAAACAGGAGATGGGTGTTGAGGATGGCCCTTGTGATAAGCACACGGTGTTGTGATGAATCACTAAAGTCTACACCTGAAACTAATACCGTATGTATGTTGGCTGATTGGGATTTGAACAAAAACTGGGATCCTAGACAGTCAGAACTCGAGATGCATTATAAATCAAAACCACTCCAGACGGGTTGTTGGGTGATTCTAGGTTCCCTTACACTAGAGCCCTAACATCTGACACAAACAATAGCATTAAACGTCTGAGATCATTTCAGGGGCTCAGACCAGTATCTTAAACTTATTAAGAAAGGTTATTTCAGAGCAAAAACCAGTTAAGCTTTTACAGTGGTTCTCAAAGTATGGTCCTCATACAAGTAGCAGCAATTTGACTAGGAAACTTGATAGACTTTTCATAATTATATCATTTGATATAAAATGTTTTATCATTATATGTTTAATGCCACAGTTTCTTATATTAAGACTTCTAATCTTTGATTTATACTTGTCTTTGGTCACCAATTCACATTTCTAAACAATGGCTGAAGTGGGTTTTTAATATTTGTTTCTGAGGATATTGTTCTTTTCTATGACTGCCATTATGGCCAATTGTTAAAGAGAAAGGGCAGCAGATATTTTATTAGGGAATAGGATCATGAAAATTTAATGAAGTTTTCTGATATAGAGTCATGTAAGTGGCCCATTATAGTTTTCTAATATTGGATAGATTTTGTTCTTAAGCATCTTTTGACACTTTAGAAGATTTTTTTTCGCAATGCCAAAATGACACATGCCTGTGGAAAAAAATGAAAAAAAATGTTAAAAAAAAAACCTAATATAGTCCTAATAAAACTCCAAAAATTTTGGAGTCCTCAAACTGAACACTGCATACAACAGAATACTTCTGCAGGATCTAGAAGAGCCAAATTATCACTAATGGAGCAGTGTCGGGTGATCTAATGGTCTAGGCAGAATTTAGGCTGATATTTTCTTTGGTTCCTTTCCAGTTTCTAGATTCTACTTCTTTGTCCTATGTGTAGTTCCTTATGCTTTTTTCTTGATACTCATTAACTCCTATTTTGACAGTTTACTCAAGTGTCTCCCAATAGAACTTTAATTTCTTTAGAGAAACATTTGTCAGTTGAAAAACAGAGGCATGAATGACACATAAAGCTAAAACTTTCTGGGTACAAATTCTATATTCCAGTGCATTCAAATCAACCTCTGATTAGTCAAGCTCAGATAGGTGTAGGCAGATCATCTGAGAGTGAGAAACACATAAGCAATCCTCCAGCCCCCTCTTTTATTTTCATCAAACCGACGTGTGTGGCTTAACCATCTATGAAGAGTCATAGGAGGAAATTCATTGAAATCATAGAAATTTGAAAATCTTTAATGTAGAAAATGATCAAAAGCTAATTTTTATGTCTAATGCAAGCACAGAAACTCATGGGCTTGAAACTAATACCCGAGAATTTTGAGATTTAGGTTACACAAACTATGTGCTTGGGAAAGCCACTTAGATCAACGTTTTCAAAATATATTCAGAGGAAACTTAGTCTCACAAATTCTACCCTTCAAGTCGTATGTCACTCTCTACTCCCAACTTCATCAAAACAAGAACAAATATTTGATGGTCTTGAGAAATCCATCACACTGTATTCTCTCTTGGGGAATTATAATGTCGATTAGTAAAATAAAGTCCTGCAATGCTCTGCCGTGGATTAGCATCTCTACTGCTGTTTAAAGTTCAACATTTTCAAAATCTATTTGAATCAAGAATTTTATATATATATATATATATATATATATATATAAAAGATTTTATTTATTTATTTGACATACAGAGATCTCAAGTAGGCAGAGAGGCAGGCAGAGAGAGAGGGGGAAGCAGGCTCCCTGCTGAACAGAGAGCCCGATGTGGGACTCGATCCCAGGACCCTGAGATCAGGACCTGAGCCGAAGGCAGAGGCTTTAACCCATAGAGCCACCCAGGTGCCCCAAGAATTATATATTTATCAGTACACTTTTTTGAAACTGAAATAAAATATTAATCTTCCTGGGGTAGTATTTTTGGTACCTATAAAATGAAGGATCTGAAAATAAGTGAGTAGTTAAAACATAGGTTTAATGATTACCTAATGGAAAAATTATATGGAGAAATCTATCCCCATATGGGAGTATACATAAGATGATCTCTCTTTTCCATTTTAATTTTGAGTGATTTTATGACTATATGAACTCCAAGCTTGTTTCCAGATCTAAAATGTCTTAATTCTTAGCAGTCTATATCAGTTAAAGTCTATATCAGTTGAATACTTTACTTAGTAAGTATTCAAATGGTTCATGAGAAGAAATTTGAAAGCCCCTACTCGATTAAATATAAAGTATAACTTTATTGTATTAATAATTTTGTAGAGTAGACCATTACCATGAAGGTTTACAGGAACAATTGCTGCTTTTTTGGTTTTGGTGTTTGGTTTTGGCACAATTAGGAATTATCTGCGGGGTTAGTGAAATTGTCCAAATTTCTTTTTTAATGTTGGGTGATATACCTGTAGGCAACTGATGTTGATGTGTTATCCCAATTTCTCACCATGTGCACATTTTTTTTAAACTTATTTTTCTGGGGCACCTGGGTGGTTCAGTGGGTTAAGCCTCTGCCTCCAGCTCAGGTCATGATCTCTGGGATCCAGCCTAGCTTTGGGCTCTCTGCTCAGCGGGGGGCCTGCTCCCCACCACCCCCCCGCTGCCTGTCTCTCTGCCTACTTGTGATCTCTGTCAAATAGATAAATAAAGTCTTAAAAAAGAAAAAGAAAAAACCCCACATTTTTCTTGAAAAAAGTCTGAACTTTTTCTCATGTTTTTTGCAACTTATTTTTTCTTTCTCCTTCCTTTAGTTTTCCTTCCTTTTTTTAAAATTAATTTTTATGTTTTTTGTTCATTTCTAAACCCTGTTACAGGAGCAAGATCCAGGTAATTGCTAACACAACACTTGTTCAAACATCTTTTCTCTCTAAACAGGTTGCATGACAATTACATTTCTATAGATTTATTTTTTCTTTCTCTTCTCTCTGTATTACAGCTTCAGAAACTTAGAAGGGTCACAGTTTATGCCCAATATTTCCTTTCTATCTCCTTTTTATAAAATTTCATTTCTTTAAACTCATTCTACAGGACATTTATGTCTCAAAAAATGAAACAGACAGTGTTAGGCACTGTTCATTACTACGTATTTTCCTGTTTCACCATTGTAAGATACACTGAATGCCATGTTCAATTGTGGATGTGTCAAAACAAAAAGAGAGAGAAGTTTAGGGCCTCTGTTCATTTCCCTCCTATTATACTTGGACTATTCTATATTTTGAAATAGCTTTCAATTCATAAAAGAAAATTAAAAACCTTTATCCCTTTTTTCCTTTTCAGCAAAACAAGACAGGAACTTTTCATTTAACCATCTTTTCTATAAAAAAAAATAAAAATAAAACAAGTTTTGTGCTTTTGTGTGTTAAGGACCAAACAAACATGATACAATGCCTGCTATTATCTTGGGGAATTGGCTGAACAGCATTCAAAGGCTCTCTTCCAAGAGCTCACAATTCATTTCTTTGAATTTTGAATAGAAATTTGGCCAAGCAGATATATGAATCTGAGAAGATTTTTTCCCTCAGAAATGATTTTTGACATCTCCAGTCCTGCTGTCTATCTTTATATGTCTGTCTGTGTAGCCTTGTAGAAACTAGCTTCATGAGACCACAATTTTCTGTCATGCAGAAAACTTCTACCTCAGGAGTCTCACACATTAAAGAAACTGTGTATCCAGGCAAGAATGTAGTCCACTGGGAACATACTTAGGGAATGTTTGCAGTGAGAAGAGTCTTATCAATAATGTGACTAGCAATTTAGACATGATTTTGTGGCCCATAATAAATGGAAAGAGAGTCCACTGTCTATGTAATACAGGGTTGCTATACACAAACTGAATCAGAGCCATGTTCACAACTGTTTTCAAAATCAACCTAGCTTTAGATAGGAGCAGATAGAATGAACAAATCTAGGGAAATTTTAGACTTTCAGGATGAATGATAAGAGGGATTTGTAGAAGAGGCAGAGTGAAAAGTAAGGTATGGTGTGGAAATCCCCCAGTGGGTTAGGGAAGTCATGGTTGATAATCTTTTGAAAAACCTCCGGTGGTGTAGTGGAAACTGTGCCGACTAGACCATAAGACAGACTGGATTCTGATAGTCTAGAGTTTTGATCAAGTTTCTTAACCTCTGTGAGTCTCAGTTTTCTCAACTGTAATGTCAACCTGACAGTATTATTGATAAGATCATGAAAGATAAGGCTTATAAAGTGCTTGACTCAATATCTGACAGCATGTTAGTTACTAAGTTATTATTGCTATGAATACGCTTATCATTACCCTCCTCTCCATTCCTTTGTTCAGGAATGAAGTTAGATCTCTTTACATGCTGCAGAAAACAACAATGAGAAGTCAGGGCTATGAAGAACAAGTTGTGGCTGTGGAAATATAGTTATTTCCCAGGTGTTGTGCTGTGAAAACACTATGGAGCATGTAATTAATTTATGAAGACTAAATCTGAGAAAAGTATGTTCATTTTTAAAAATGACATGTTCTGTTGCTTATTTTGTTGAATAAAGGAAAGCAAAATCTACAAGGTAGATTTAGAAGTTTTTCTGAAAACCACCAGATTGTGAAGATGCTGTATGCAGTATATTGTAAAGAGTGATACAATTTAAATATGTTTCAGTCATGGTCATCTTCCTACTCTTTTCACCATTTGTTCTTAGTCTCCACTTTTTCATCATCCCTTTTTTTCACCCATTTCTCTTTCCCCTTTTTACATTGATTTCTTTTGTTATTATTATCTCCCTTTTCCTTCAAAATCTCATTTTTAGAACATTCACATACTAAATGAATGTTCTATTTTGGAGGATATGAATGGACCTAGATATACTCACTAATAT